GGATTTTGACCAGACGCTCGTCGGCCCCGTGATGGGGAAAGACCCCGCGCTATTGCACAACACTTGGCAAGCCTACCGTCTTCGAATATTCAGCGACGCCAATCACGCTCTCCGCCTCCTCGAGTCTCTACGTCCTCGAATCAATAATATACTTTCATCGATGTTGTTGCGGGACGATCCAATAGGTCTCGAAGTCCACGCCGGAAAAACTAGGATTAGCGGCTTCCAGGGGTGGGACCGCTGTTAAGCTATCGTCATAACAGCCTCCTCCGACCCATCCACCGACCTTCGATGATTCCTTTCAGCCGACACCTCTCATCGCCGACCAGCTCGTTTCTGCCGTTCTTGTCGACAACCATCCGGTAACTGCTCTGGTCGACACCTGCGCCGACTACTCAGTTATCAGCACTAACTTGTTATTGAACTCAGGAAAGTTACGATTCCTTGGGAGCATAGACCAAACATTCGGGCACAGGGTGGTCATTTCTTGACATCAGTCGGGAGATGCACCGCAAGGCTGCAAATATATCAGTCGACGTTCATTGCTTCTTTTGCGGCGCTTCCCGAATGCTCCCGGAAAGTTATCCTTGGCATGGATTTCCTTCGCGATCACGGCGCTGTTATAGATCTTCGAGACTGCCTCATAACGTTTTCTGACGACTGTGCTCCGAAGCCTAGAGATACTGATCCGCAGAGGCCTGTGCTTTGCATTGCCGACGACACCGTCACACTTCCGCCACGAACCAGTAGGTTCGTTACTGTACAGAACGACATAGATCATGACAATAGTGGTATTGCTGAAGTCAACCTTTCGGTACTCTTGTCTCAGCAAATCTGCGTTGCCAGTGGCATAATCCAAATTGAACGTTGGATGACCAAGTTGGTGGTCACCAATTTTAGTGGAGCATACCAACATTTCGCCAAGTGAACAACTATCGCTAATTTCGAAACCATTGATGATGAAGCGTGTACGACAATTTTTCAAATTTCTGCAGCCATTGAAAATGACACAGCGGTAGCCGATACAGCCGATGTCAATCCGAAGCAGTAATCTGCGCAGAAAAATCAAATCCGCGGTATTCTGCGCATGTTTAGCGACTGTTTCGCGTCTACCTCCAAGATAAGCAAACACCAACCATAAAGCCCCGCATTGATTGATTGATTGATTCATTTTGGGGTTTAACGTCCCGAAACCACCATATGATTATGAGAGACGCCATAGTAGAGGGCTCCGGAAATTTTGATCACCTGGGGTTCTTTAACGTGCACCCAAATATGAGCACACGAGCCTACAACATTTCCGCCTCCATCGGAAATGGAGCCGCCGCAGCCGGCATTCGATGCCGTGACCTGCGGGTCAGCAGCCGTGTACCTTAGCCACTAGACCACCGCAGCGGGGCAAAGCACCACATTATCACAGGCCATGCTGAACGACCTATATGTCAGCACACCTACCGAGTATCGCAAAAGAAAAAAGAGGAAATACGTTCTCAAGTGAAGCAGATGCTCGAAGACGGCGTTATCCAACTCTTGAACACTCCATGGTCGTCCCCCGTCGTACTAGTAAAGAAGAAGGACGGCACTCTTCGATTTTGCGTCGATTACCGGAAACTCAACGAAGTTACAAAGAAAGACGTTTATCCTTCCACGCATCGACAACTCACTAGACCGCCTCCGACGCGCCCGATACTTTTCTCCATGGATTTACGCAGCGGCTAGTGGCAGATCGAAATTGATGAACGCGACCAAGAGAAAACAGCATTCATAACGCCTGATGGTCTGTACGAATTCAAGGTGCCACCCTTTGATCTGTGTTCTGCTCCTGCGACATTCCAGAGAATGATGGATACAGTGCTGTCCGGTCTCAAGTCGGAAGCCCGCCTTCTTTACTTAGCCTACGTCGTTGTCTTCTAACAACCGTATGAGCAGCACTTGCAGCGACTTAGATGGGTGTTTGTTGCAATTCGCACGGCAGGCCTATCACTGAAACCAGAAAAATGTCATTGTGGTTACAACAAAATAAAGTTCCTCGGCCACCTCGTTAGCCACGATGGTATTCGGCCGGCCCCAGACAAAACGTTGGTGGTCGCAGATTTTCCACCACCTGCCAACACACGTAATGTGCGTCGATTTTTAGCTTCTGCGCATAATGCAGACGTTTTGTGCAAAATTTTGCAAACATTGTTAAACTCCTCACTCGTCTGACAAAAAAAGATGTTCCCTTCGCGCGAGGCCCAGAGCAAAGACCCGCTTTCTCCGAGCTCGAATGCAAAACTTTATTACAAATATTTTTTCCGATGAAGGAGGAGCCCTCAGTCCAGGGCACCTGTGGCCTTCGCCATCTTGCAAGCTTTGTCGCTCAGCTTGAGCTGTTCTCCAGGCTTAGAGCAGGGCAGCGAAGCCTCCCACTGCTCCGGTGTTGGTGTACAGTTTCTTGGCACTACCTGTGTGTGTTGGCAGGCCTATGTCCCGTGGTAAAGTGTGGGTGTTCTTGAAGCAGTGTCTCCAGGTTTAGCCATTACTCGGACACTAACACGAAGATGCCGACACTGAACTACACGCAGACGCCAGTAACGTGGGCCTTGGTGCAGTCGTCGTCCAGTGGCAAGGTGGCGTCGAACGTCCTGAACGCTCTCGGACCTTTTCCCCAGTCTTGTGATGGCAACCGCTGGATTGTAGTCGCTACTGATTGCATGACGCGCTAGAGCGAAACGAAGGAATTATAACGTGCCAATATTGACGTGTTGTTATGGTGCCTGAGATATGCGCAATAATTGCTTTTTAATTGACAATCGCACAAGTATGAACGCTGAAGCTTGAGCAATATTGGTGGGCGCTGCGGATGGGGTCAACCGTTTGGAGTATCGTTTCGTCAGTTTGGTGCCTTTTAGAGTATCGCCCCGCCACGGTGGTCTAGTGGCTAAGGTACTCGGCTGCTGACCCGCAGGTCGCGAGATCAAATCCCGGCTGTGGCGGCTGCATTTCCGATGGAGGCGGAAATGTTGTAGGCCCGTGTACTCAGATTTGGGTGCACGTTAAAGAACCCCAGGTGGTCGAAATTTCCGGAGCCCTCCTCTACGATGTCTCACATAATCAAATAGTGGTTTTGGGACGTTAAACCCCACAAATCAATCTTTTAGAGTATCGTTAAGAGTGAACAAACAGACAAATATACATACTGACAGACTAACGTTTTTGCGTCAAAGGTCCCCATGAAAGACTTTAGTCCTTAAAATTGTTCGCAAGTGTTACTGTCATCGTAGGTTTCCCTAAGGGGTTGGGGCAGGACGGAAGTTCATCGCGGCCCCCCGCCCTGTTATGTCAATGTACGTGGCCAACCTTCGCCCTCCTTTCTATAATATCAATGTATGCGGCTGGTTTTGCGCCCCCCTTCTTGCCCTTGTCATTGTATTTATTGCCTCCCCCCCCCCCCATCAAAGCTTTCGCCCCACGGGGTGGTATTCCAGTGACCCGAGGTTACGTCCGCTTCTGACTAACGAACAATGTCAAGTGATTGCGTTTCAAAAGGACTTCTTTGGAGGCTAGTTGGTGCTTACATTGCCGAAGTACATTTGTCTCTGGCGCAATATACATTTCGTGAAAGCAGGGGAGCAGAATAGCAGGAAGCGAAGTTCCGAAATACCAACTGTTTAACCACAGTCTGAGAAGCGCTTGCAGAAGTACGGCACTTCACTTTCATCTTTTCTGTTTTCCACCTTTTGACGAATCGATTCGGCGCCACAGTGAAGAGTATTTCAGCAATGGGTGGTGTCCCCACATGGCACCGATTTACCACACTTAAAGACCTGACAAGTTCTAACGCTCTCTGGCGTAATGAACGTCAAAACACTACGTCATCACATTTTTTTCATCAATCCGTGTTATTGCCAACAATAGCTTTTCGTGTTGACTGAGGCATCCAAGGATTTCGGCAAAGATTAAACCTTAGCTGAAATCTTATACCTTATCATACCCAACCATCATCGTCTTGCTTTGCTTGGCGCGCTCATCTTCCGTACAGGCCTTGGATAGTTTGTTCCACTTGAACCCTGGCTCTCTGACCATTACGTCCCTCTTTGTGCTCTCTTGTGAACAGCCTGTTAGCTTGTTCCAGAATTACGGTATGAAAATACGATATGGTATTACGCTACCGCTCCTTCTCTCCCGGTCGTGTTGTTCTTGCCAGTGAAAGCATTCAAAAGCCACGGACGCTTTTTCTAAAAAAAATTACTGCAGGGTGGTCAAGCCTCATTGTTGCCCGTGGGCGTACGCATTATTAAAAAAGAACCCGCCTTTCGAGGGACGCACTGTTACTGGAAATGGCTGTGGCTTAAGCACAACAAGCGGGAAAGTGAGAGCGCTTTAGGAAGTCCCTGAAGTGCGTAATTACATGCCGTACTATTTGTTTCTTATTTCTTCTAGCAGCCTTTTCTTTTGAAGCAATCCTCAACGCTTTCAATGTTTGAGTACTCACTCACGATATTTACCTACCACATTGCCTTAACTTGCTCAAGGACTCCAACTTTGAAAGTGTTTAGAGAAAACTCGCTCAGTTTAATGTTGAAATACGCTTCGCACCTCTGTTCCTTCGTTCCTTTAATTCATGCCTTAACGCAACGGTGAAACTTGAGTACACACTCAAGCACACTCGCCCGACTTTTCCGTTCGAGCACAAACTAGCTCGCGGCGGTTGGCAGGTGAATGCTACGTGGTTTTGTCTCTACATCGCTTTCGGAATCCGTCACACGTGGGAGAGAGAGCACGATTTCTCTGCTTACTTTCAGATGAGACCGTGCAGGAGAGTGGGAAAAACTGATGGAAGTATGCCTCACCACTCGCACTCTAAGTCAACGTTGAAAATAGAGCTCGGAGTGCGCGGTATATCCGCCCCATATCTATACATTAGGCCTCTTATATTGTGCCCAGGCATGCCTTCTACGATAACGCCTGCTTATCGGCATCGAAAACAGCAGTCAACACACTGCCTTGTGCGTCGTAGAGGGATCATTCTTGAGGGTTGTTCGACTCAAACGGGAAGGTTCTCTATATGTCCGAAGCTCATAATTTGAAGCAGAGAAGGAACTGAAGCTTTCGACATCGGTTCAGGTAATTTTGCCTATGTACGCACTTGCTCTGTTAATTTGGATTTTTTTCATAATTGTTTTCTTTCTTCAAAAAGGGGTGATTTATGATCACAGCTAGTTTGGTTACTTCTATCCATAAACAGGAAGCTTACGCAATAAATTAAACTGAAATGTCATCGTGCGGACACAGCAGCCTTGTCGATGGTACCGCACACTAAGGAATGAGAAGGGAAGATGTACATTGTACTGCGCTCCATTGTGCCGCGCGCCTGTTCATTCGCACCTGTCATGCTGCCCCCAAGGTGAACAGGTTCGTGAAAGCGCGGGAGAGATTGACGTGGGACGTATTAGCAAGTCACCACCAGCGGTTTACGACAATCTTTGAGAAAAACATGGTCATTTGACAGCACAGAGGGTGTCATAAGGGCAGTCGCGTACCAATGGGGGGGGGGGGGCAAACTTACTTCACTCTCGTCAGATATACATACATATATATATTGTGAGCGCTGACTATGTACTTCATCTTCATCTGTATAACCAAACCATTGTAGTGATCATCATCGTATGTCACGCGGGCTGGCTCTCTGGCTCGTGCGTCTGAATTAAAAAAGGATAACCTGGTTGCTGCCGTACCGGACGTGGTCTCATAAGTGGTGGAGCGTGCTTTGGTTCCCAAGTCCTCCTGCTCTACCCGTCACCCCTGGAGCTCCGGTCTGGTCGACGGTTGTGCCCTCAAGCAACAGCGATGGCAGAACCCAACCCGCCCGCTGCTGCAACCGCTCCTACTCAGCCACTTAGGCTTCACTACACCGTGAGTACCTCTCATCGAGACCCTCCGGTATTCTCCGGCCTTCGCAACGAAGACGTCGGAGAATGGCTCGACAGTTATGATCGAACCAGCGTTTGTAATTATTGGGACGAGGCGCACAAACTGCGCTACGTTCCTTTTTACCTCGATGGCGTCGCTAAAACCTGGTATTACAACCACGAGAGCGACTTCTCCAATTGGTCGGCCTTCACGGGGCATCTCCGTCAGGTATTTGGCACGTCTGCAGGATGTTCTGTAGTAGCGAAACAGAAGCTCGCAACCCGCATCCAAGGGGACGATAAATCGTATACGTCCTACATTGAAGATATTCTGGCTCTCTGTCGCCGAGCACAAAATGATATGACGGAGGCCGATCGCATCCGACATTTACTGAAAGGTATCAACTCTGTGGCCTTCAATGCCCTCGTGATTCAGAATCCCACTACCGTCCGGGACGTCATCACTACATGCCAACGCTTGGACGCGCTTCATTCCATGCGCCTTCCACACGCCTCCTGCGACGCTCGCTTTACCAAAGAGCATGAATTGCGGGCCCTTATCCGCACAATTGTCAGAAAAGAACTTCACGGCCTTATTCCAGGCAACCCTACTGTTGCGCCTGTCCACACACCTCCTCCCAACCTGCGAGATAATCAAGGACGAACTGGTATCAATGACAAGCGCTGCACATGCCCCGTCTCCTGTGCGCTTCCCCGTGCCTTCGTACGCAGAAGTTGCAACGCGGGCCCCTGCACCAGTTCCAACTATGCCTGCGGACGTCGGATGCGACCATGTGGCTGCGATGACAACGCAAGCGCCAAGGCCACGCCACTATTCAACATGGCGTCCTCCCCGCCCCATCTGCTTCTACTGTGACATAAGGGGTCATATATCCCGTTTCTGCCGCCGCCGTCAGCAGGATGAACGACGTGGTTACTCAGCTTACGAGAGAGACTTTTCCCCGAGACCCGATGAATACGATCCCGCACCGTATCCATCCACCTTCCGTCAGTCGCCCTCCCCTCCACGGTCTCATGCTGGGCCTCATCCTTCCCGTTCATCTCGCCGCCGTTCTCCGTCACCGTTTCGGCGTACGTCATCACCTTTGCGTCCCGCTCCAATCTCTCGGGACTCGGAAAACTAGAAGGTGCAGTTTTTGGAGGGGAAACTGCTTGTCGTCGGAACGCTACAACTCCTCTGTCTCGTCCAGCTAATTTACTGCCTGTTTCTGTGGAAGGTGTTTCTGTTGACGCCCTTATAGACACTGGAGCCGCAATTTCGGTAATTTATCGTGAATTGTGTTTTCGCCTGCGTAAAGTGCAAACTCCTTATGCTGGTCCCATGTTATGCGGTGCTAATGACAGTCCAGTTCGCCCGACCGGGTTGTGCACTCCTCGTATTCTCATCGATGGAATCCGTCATCACATACAATTGGCTGTGCTGTCTTTGTGCGCTCATCAGATAATCTTAGGCTGGGACTTCTTGTCAGCGGCGTCTGCTGTAATTTCGTGTGGTCGGCCCCTCATTCGTATTAAGGACACTGAGCTTTCTTCTGCTGCCGACCTTTCGTCGCCCAACCTTTTGACAGCTGCGGATTTCCTCCTGCCTCCCAAACAAGAACGTGTCCTTACGATCAAGTCACAAGACATTCTAGATGGTGACGCTGTGGTTGCTCCTTGCCAGCGTTGTATTTTTCGAGGGATCACCGTCGCATCTTGTTTAGTGCGGTTCTCCCGTGGTTATGCAAACATCACGGCATGCAACACGACGCCAGAACCACTTCTTTTGCCTGAGGGGACCACTGTTGCCAGCATTACCGAAGAAGCACCGCTTTGTGTCGTCACTGGTTCATCTGCTTCGTCATTCTCAAAGTGTATGTCAGCGGAAGATGCATTTCCTGCTCTCAAGGCAACTTTGTGTGAACATCTCAACCCAACGCAAACTGATGCCTTGCTAGCGTTATTAATGAAGCACAAAACTTGCTTTGACGCTTGTTCCGAAGGTATGGGTCAAACAACAGTGACCGCCCATCGTATCGACACCGACGGATCCCGTGTGATTCGCGACCGCCCTTACCGTGTGTCGGCTTCTGAACGCAAGCTTATAGAAGAACAAGTCAACGACATGCTCGCGCGCAACGTCATCAGGCCTTCGACAAGCGCATGGTCTTCTCCTGTCGTACTAGTGAAAAAAAAGGATGGCTCGGTATGGTTTTGCATTGATTACAGATCACTCAACAAAATCACTCGTAAAGACGTCTACCCGATGCCTCGCATTGACGACGCTCTTGATACTTTACAAGGTGCCGAGTACTTTTCAAGTCTCGACTTGCGCTCCGGTTATTGGCAGATTCCAATGCACGAGTCTGATAAAGAGAAGACTGCATTTGCTACGCCAGATGGGCTCTTTGAATTCAATGTAATGTCTTTCGGCCTGTGTAATGCCCCAGCCACATTCGAACGGATGATAGACACGGTACTGCAGGGATTAAAATGGAAGACCTGCCTTTGCTACCTGGACGACATTGTTATTTTTTCGTCGAGCTTTTCACAGCACCTGGAACGGCTAGACGAAGTCCTCACGTGTTTAGCTAAAGCCGGTCTCCAGCTCAACACTAAGAAGTGTCGGTTTGCCAGTCACAGCATCAAGGTATTAGGTCACGTCGTCAGTAAACATGGCGTTGAGCCCAATCCCGACAAGGTTGCCGCGGTACTGCACTTTCCTACACCAACCACACAGAAAGACCTCCACAGCTTCCTTGGCTTAGCGTCGTATTTCCGCCGCTTTGTACGTGGTTTCGCTACTATTGCGGCTCCTCTGCACAAACTTCTGACCATGAGCGCACCCTTTGTCTGGTCGGATGACTGCGAAGCCGCTTTTCACACCCTCAAGCGATACCTCACATCACGGCCAGTGCTTCGCCATTTCGACCCTGCAGCACCTACTGTGCTACACACTGACGCAAGTGGACTTGGCATCGGTGCTGTCCTTCTTCAGCGGAACCACGCTTCCGAAGAACAAGCCGTGGCCTACGCGAGCCGTACTCTGTCACCTGCTGAGCGAAACTACAGCATCACTGAGCAAGAATGTCTCGCCATCGTGTGGTCCATACAAAAGTTTCGTGCTTACTTATACGGCCGGCATTTCACAATAGTGACTGACCATCATGCTCTGTGTTCGTTATCGTCTCTCAAAAATTTGTCGGGACGCCTTGGCCGTTGGGTACTACGATTGCAAGAGTATGACTACAGCGTCACATATAGGTCGGGCCGAGAGCACCAAGATGCCGACGCTTTGTCCCGTTGCCCGCTCTCGCAAAGCGCCGAAGTGTCACTTTCCATCTGTTCGTCACCGCCCGCCAAAGCGAACAAACAGACGGCTGCTGCTTCGAAACAGTTAGTTGCCTCGGCGGATCTTCTATCGTCCATAGATCTCGCCTCGCTCCAACATGCCGATACCTACTGCCGCACAATCATCGATCGGCTCACTGGCTTATCGCGTGCTCCAAACAGCCGCCTAAGACGACAACTTGCCCGTTTCAAGCTTCAAGAGGGAACATTATGTCAGCAAATTTACCATCCTCTCGGTAACCAATTGGTTCCCATCATTCCTCGATCACTTCGTCTGGAAGTTCTACAAGCGTTTCATGACGATGCGACAGCTGGCCACTTAGGGTTCCACAAGACCTACGACCGCCTCAGGACTCGCTGCTTTTGGCCTGGCCTCTCCACTTCTGTCGCCAAGTACGTCGCTTCCTGCGCATCATGCCAGCACCGAAAACGTACCACGTCTCTTTCCGCGGGGCCATTGCAACCACTGCCGTGCCCGTCCACTCCCTTTGAATTTGTGGGCATATACTTATACGGACCTCTTCCGCTTACGCCAGCCGGTCACCGTTGGATCGTTACTGCCGTAGACCACCTTACTCGCTACGCGGAGACGGCAGCTCTTTCATCTGGTGCTACCTCTGAAGTAGCCGATTTTTTCCTTCGCGCCATTATTTTACGACATGGCGCACCGCGTGTGCTCCTTAGTGACCGTGGCAAGACATTTCTTTCACATGTCCTTGCTGAAGTCTTACAGGCCTCTAACACCATCCACAAGACCACATCAGCGTATCACCCAGAAACTAATGGTCTGACTGAGCGTTTTCACCGAACCTTGTCCGACATGATCTCTATGTACGTGCAACCAGATCACAAAAACTGGGACACAATACTTCCTTTTGTCACGTTCGCATATAACACTGCCATACCGCGTACAACGAATTTCAGCCCTTTTTTTCTCGTGTATGGCCGTGTACCGACTTTTGTTCTGGACACCACCTTTTTGTCCACATCTTCCAATCCATCTTCATCTCTCCCGGAAGAGTTCGCCGCTCGCGTCGCCCGCTGCCGTGAAATCGCCCGCGCCAACACTGCTACCATTCAGGACAAGAGAAAAATCGACCTTGATGCGAAGCGTCGAGTTGTTGTGTTCCGCCCAGGTGACGAAGTCCTTTTGTGGACACTTGTTCGTGTACCTGGGCTCTGCGAAAAATTCCTTCACCGGTATCTCGGTCCATACACCGTCCTGGAACGAACATCTGAAGTCAACTATCGCGTTGCTCCTGTCAACGCGGCTTCTGATCGTCGTCGCCGCCACACCGAGATCGCCCACGTCTCTCGACTGAAACGATATATTCGGCGTCCCAACCCTTTCTAACTTTCTGCCCTCTTTCGCGAAGGGGGGAAAATAGTGTGAGCGCTGACTATGTACTTCATCTTCATCTGTATGACCAAACCATTGTAGTGATCATCATCGTATGTCACGCGGGCTGGCTCTCTGGCTCATGCGTCTGAATTAAAAAAAGATAACCTGGTTGCTGCCGTACCGGACGTGGTCCGTGGTCTCATAATATATATATATATATATATATATATATATATATATATATATATATATATATATATATATATATAGAGAGAGAGAGAGAGAGAGAGAGAGAAAATTAGTGTATGGTTTTCTCGTGTTTTTGACACAATATTATTGAGACTGATCGACAATAATGCCAAGGAAAGTAAAGGTGAAGCTATCAGACCGAATTGTAATGTAAATGGGGAAAAAAAAGTGGGTGAAAAGATGACTTGCAGTGAGCAGGAACCAAACCAGCGACCTTCGAATAAAGCGTTCGATGGTCTACCACTGAAATACCACGGCGGCTATTTCACCAGCCACTTTATTGGGTATATATGTGAGTTTTAAACGTGGAAGTGCCAGTCAGCGCCACCAGTAGCCATGGCGACGGGTGTGGCACACTCTTTTTTATGAGCTTGTGGGGGGTCACGTAGCACGTAAACTTATTACGAGCTGACAGCTGACCAATAATCCCTCGTATACAACCTAATGCCACCAAGTCTGCCAGTACAAAACCGTCGTTAATGACTAAAGAAAAAAAGTGTATACTTAGGGCTCATTTTTTTCGTCTTTTTGACACAATATTAATGAGACTAGCAGATTATAACGCCAAAAAAGTATAGGGGAAGCTATCAAACCGAATTGTAATGCAAATCTGAAGAAAGAAAAGTGGGGGAAAAGATAACTTGCCGTGGTTAGGGACTGAACCTGCAGCCTTCAAATAACGCGATGATGGTTCGCATGAAAGAGTCAACTTTTCCTATTTTTGACATCCTCGCCAGAGTGTGTGTTGATTTGATGGGTGAATGAAAAAAAAACTATATTGAAAGTCCAGTGATGCTTAACAGGTGGGGCTCAGGTCTCCCAAAAGGGGAATTCAGGACTTTTCCTCATCGCCTCCTCTCGGGCCCACTGGTCTGCTTACCCTTGCGTCTAGAAGTTGGACCAACTCAGAGCGTGAGTCACTTCGACGAAAGAGCTGTTGTAACAGGGCATTCTCACAAGTGTGAGAGTGTAGCTCCAGTTGGGGGACACAATTTCTAAATAGCACAATTTCCAAATTGAGAGTCTGCCTCAATCGCATCATACTAAGAAAGGTGTGTGTCTGCAGCTGTGGCTGGATTACTGCTTGGCATTGTTCAAGCTTGGTAAGCTAGGTTTAACGTTTCTCCTCTCGCATTTTGTTCTTTATCACAGTGCTCAGCATACTACATAGTTTCGCTTGAAGGTCCCCTTTTCGCTGCTACATCTTTCTTTTTACTAACGGCTTCCAGTGCCTTAGGGGCACGATTTTTCGGTGATTTCTACTACAAATAGTAAGATACTTGTGTCGTATGCACGTAACGGTTTAATATTTCTTAGTATCCAACAGTACTACGGTTTAAAATAATATAGAGTTCAATTTTTTCCCACAGCTTGCAGCCTCCTGTCTCATTCTGAATGGAATCTGATTGGTTTTCTAAAAGATCAGTAGGAGTTTTTTAATGTTACAACAATTTCATAAGCATAGTTTTTTGTACATGCAGCTCAAGCACCAAGAATGGTGTGGAAGACGCGCTTTTATGAGCAATATCACGAAGTTGACGGCTTCTACCTGAGCAAGGCGTTCCCGGTCGAATGCGTCCGTTCAGCTCTTCGCTACCAGGCGCGACCGGGTGATCTATTTATCGTCAGCTACCCAAAGTGTGGCACAACATGGATGCAGCACATCGTCTATAACATCATAAACGGCCACCCACCCCCAAATAACATGCTGCTCGCCTTTATAGAGATGCCTTTTCTAGAACTGCAAGGGGCCGAGTCTGTCTTGGACATGAAGAAACCGGGTGTAATGAAGACGCACATGCCCTTTCAGTTCCAGCCTTACTCGAAAGAAGCCAAGTATATTTACGTAGCGAGAAACCCCTACGATTGCTGCGTTTCTTACTTCTACCACACCAGAAACATTCCCGATTACGAATTTCAAGACGGCACGTTCGATCAGTTCTTCGAAATGTTTCTGGAAGGGAAGGTCGACTTCGGCGACTACTTCGATCATTTGCTGTCTTGGTACGAACACTGCGACGATCCCAACGTCTTCTTTGTTACCTACGAGCAGCTGAAGAAGGACGCCAGGACATCGGTTTTGAAGATTGCCGACTTTATCGGGGAACAGTACGGCCAAAAACTGCGAAATGACAAAAGCCGGTTCGAGAGCGTCCTGACAAACATAACCGTCAAAAGCATGAAGGAATGTGTGAACGAATCCATGCAGACTTCGATGAGGACACTCGAGGCCGCCCTCGGTGGGAAGGTGCCCAAGTGGATCGATCTCATGAAAGGAACAGCAGGAGCTGAGTCCTGTGAAAAGCCAATGTCTGGTGATTTTGTTCGCAAAGGCATCGTCGGCGATTGGCAGAACCACTTTTCGGAAGAGCAGGTAAAACGACTTCAGAAGAAGATTCACGAGAAGACCCGAGGAAGTGACGTGATGAAATTGTGGAAGGACACAGACATTCCACACTAACTGTCTATAACTGTTTCATACTTGGTCATCCTGGATTAGTTGTAACTCGTGTGGCTGAGCTGATTTATGCACGTTAAGCATTGTGTAAAAGCACTCGTGCTCCGTGGGATCACCTATTATTAGAAAAATTGCCATATGGGATGTATTGTGAATAAACAACAGCATGGTGAAAGAATAAAGGTGACGCGCAAATATATATACAATTCCACAGACTTATTGTTTCTTATTCTGTTAACTACTTTGACGAAAGTTCTCAGCAGAAAATAACGTTTTGTTCCAATCAATGAACCTAAGTACAGTCATGCTACTACTACAAAATTACAGCACAAAAAAAGATACTGTGGCGCACACACACCTCCTCGCAAGTCCCTTATCTACCTCACTTTCAGTGAGTGCGTTTGTTTCTAAGCCAATACTGTTAGAAGAAAATGAATGCTAGTTGCATTTTCTGGTGGAGTAAATCTTTAGTCAGCCGTAGAAGTTAAGTAGTTAACTATGGTGCTCAATTGCTGAACTGAAGGTCGCTGGCTCTCACGGCCATTGAAATCTGATGAAGGCGAAATTGTAGTTGTCCAATCACTGTGAGATGTTCACGTTAAATAACGTGAGATGGCCGCCATTTACGGAGCGAATTCCAACGGCGTCTCTAACACTCGTCACAAATATTCACCTAAATGTTTCGGAATAAATATATTGAAATATATAGGCTGGAAGCCTAAAGCACTGATACACTAGTAAATTTGTCTTTACAATCAGGATATTTTGAGAATAATTTTGCAAGAACTCGACAAATGTATTAGAGATTATAGATACAGAAATATAAATGCAGCAAAACAAATACTTGGAATAATTTTTTTCGAGAATGCTGACACTGGAATATAAATTTGGTACAGTACCAAATTGTAAATAATGTTTTACCACATTGAAACTTTCACGTCAAGCATATCACTGGAACCACCAAAGAATACCGCTGAATTAGGGAAAAGTATACAATTATTCTAGACCCAACATCTATATTGCCGAGACGATTGTTGCGTTACCAGCACTTGAACAACAGAAGCTTCTCCGATTAACAGCAGTTTAGAGGTCACTACGCTTTCAACACGAAAATCGAGAAGTGGCTTGCCGTGGGACGAATAAGTTTCTGCTGTGGCACTGGCCTTGAAAGACTGCAACATTTGTCACCATAGCATGGCAGTATTGCCTCCGCGATACTGTGAACGTGCCCGGTGGCATGCTTTTGCTTGGCTAGGCAGAAAAAAAAATTACACCATTTGCCGCTACAGGTAGCCATGTGTGGATACGAAGCAGTGGAGAGATGGTTCGCGCGAGCGAGAGATGGTGTACTTCATTGGGAGCTTGTGCTGGGGCTAACGCTGACACTGCTGGCGGCGATGACGCTGGCGCGCATTGCCGCGTTGCGCAGGAGAGAATGGGGCACGCACACGCCGCCATTTTATACCGTGTAGCTACCGTTGTGGTTGCAGCGGGGTACCCAGCTTCCGCACTATCTGTCCTTCGCGGCACTCCGTAGAGGAGAGGATTCCCAAAGGAGAGAGAGAGGAGCATAGGAGAGAGAGAGGAGTAGCGGAAGGGAAAAGGCTGTGGGAGTGTGGACGCCGTGTGATGGAAGGAATGAGGGCCGGGTACAGCCCTCGTCATAAGCTGCTTTGGCATCTAAATGTATCCCGCCTTTAGAAACAGGTAAGTTCATATTGCCACGAGGAATTGTTAAGGCGCAGTACAACGCAGACGTTGTTAAAAGAGGAACGCTGACGGCATCGCTACGACTCATGAAGCCCGCCGGAAGGCACGAGCCGGCCCAGCCTGTGCACGAGCTGCTACCGAGCAGCGGAAAAGAAGAGAAGAAGAGGACGACGAGCGTTCGCTGCTTTCTCCCAGCTACTGTGTAGTTCTTTTGGCTTTGGGCACAAGTTCGCCCTTATTAAACCTTGTAAATAGGACGTCCCGGTTGTGAGGTTGTTATATCCGTTACATTTTCTGGTGGAGGAGCTGGGTACATGATTCCGAGCCCCACGCAAGAGCGAAGTCCAAGCACTGACCAGCCGCAACCAGTGGAGCTTACACCGGTGCACCAACGAGTCAGCCGCCGTATCCGAGGAGAGTTGCCAGAATTTGGGCCACTCCCTTCTGTATCAAGGGCATCGGTGACGGAGACAAGCGCCGCCACCACCATGACGAGCCAAGTTACGCCGGCACAACTCATCGTAAGCCAACCGGTCATCCCAAAGGTGTTTCATGGTGACCCATACGAGGACGCCGAAGACTGGTTAGAGCATTTCGAGAGAGTGGGAAATCTAAATCAGTGGAACGAGGAAGGCAAGCTGCGTAACGTCTACATTGCGTTGGAAGACTGCACGAGTGTGGTACGAAAACCACGAGGCATCTCTGACGTCGTGGCAAGAGTTTCGGCGGCAGCTACTGAGTACGTTCGCCAACAGTGATCGCCGGGAAAAGGCGGAAGCAGCTCTCCGCACACGGATTCAACGAACGAACGAAACTGTCGCGATGTACATCGAAGACATGTCCCGCCTTTTCAAGCGAGCTGATCCTGGCATGACGGAAGACAAGAAAGTGCGCCACCTCATGCACGGGGTAAAGCAAGAATTGTTCGCGGGACTCATCCGCAATCCGCCCCGTACTGTTGCTGAGTTTCGGTCGGAAGCAACAACCATCGAAACGACGCTTCAGCAGAGAGCCCGACAGTACAACCGCGACGTAGCCGGTGCATCCGCAGGAGTCTACTCAGCAGGCGTCGTGGATAATCTTGACACATTGCGCGAGCTCGTCCGGTCTGTTGTCAGGGAAGAATTAAGGAAACTGCAGTCACCTGATGTCACCCCCGAGCTGTCTCTTGCTGAAGTTGTCCGAGACGAAATTCGACAGGCCATGCGGGAGCCGCGGAGTGATGTGCCGGCGACACGACGGGCGGTAACGTACTCCGAGGTGCTCAGGCGACCTACTCTGCACTGTTCGCCGATCGAGACACCAAGTACTTATGTGCAGACAATGCGCAGCCCGCCTGAAATCGTAGAGGCAACACGCACTCCACCTCGTGCGAGAGAGATGATGCCACGGAAGAGCGATGTGTGGCGAGATGCCACACGTAGGCCCTTGTGTTTCCACTGTGGAGAGGCTGGCCACCTGTACCGATTCTGCCGATATCGTCAAGCTGGTCTTAGGGGATTCGCCATCAATGCACCGTGTCCGCGAAACGGCGAAAGACCTTCCGAGATTGAAGAATACCTATGCTCACGTCGGGAATTTGACCCGCCTCGTCGTCATCAACCACGCTCACCATCCCCTATGCGCTACCGCTCGTCTAGCCCACGTCCCTTCCCAAGCACGTCTAGGCAGCGTTCGCCTAGCCCAAATCCGGGAAACTGAAGAGGGCGACCTGTGGAGGCGAGGCCGCTGGCGACTTGGGATGTGAAGATCCTCCACTGCGGTACGAGCCTGATAACGACGACTGTTTCCAGGTAAAGGAGTGCAGTACAGAGAAAATTACTTCAGACTTGCCGTTGGTGATTGACGGACTAGAGCTCAATGCTTTGATCGATACTGGTGCGGATTATTCTGTGATAAGTTACGAATTAGCGAAGCGACTCAAGAAAGTTCTGACCGAATGGGGTGGACCTCAAGTACGTACTGCAGGTGGTCACCTCATAACCCCTTCCGGCCGATGTACCGCAAGGGTCATGATACGGGGCTTCACTTACGTCGGTGACTTTGTCGTCCTGCCTGTGTGCTCGAGGGAAGTGATACTGGGAATGGATTTCCTACAAGCTAATGGTGCGATTATCAATTTACAGAGGTCGAGCGTGTCCTTTTCGACGGAGCAAGCTTTAAAGGTAGCACGATCAGATGAACGATGTACCACTCCACTGCGCGTCGTCGACGATGATGTGACTGTACCGCCACGGAGCAGTATAATGGTTCTCGTGCATAATGATGCATTCAGCGACTACGAGGGTGTGGCGGAGAGCAACGTGGATGTTTTCTTGAAAAGAGGCGTTTGTGTGGCACGAGGGATTATCCAGCTGCGAAACGGGTGCACAGACATCCTCTTGACGAATTTCGGTAACGAATTCCAGCACATCGCAAAAGGGACGGCAATAGCGTTTCTTCATGAGTTCTGTGAAGTGACAGAAATATGCAGTCTTGAAACGACGTCACCGAATGTGAAACTTCCATCTGATGCCTGCGACACAATATACGTAAATCCTAATCTTTCAGAGATTCAACGTCAACAGCTATACGACCTCGTGCGGGAATTTGGCAGCTGTTTCTCCAACAGTTCAAAGGTACGGCGCACGAGCATTACAAAACACAGGATCATAACGGACGAGACAACCAGGCCGGTATGCCAGCACCCGTATCGTGTTTCCCCTAAGGAAAGGGAAGTCATCAAGAAGCAGGTACGAGAAATGCTTGAAGATGATGTTATCCAGCCTTCTAACAGCCCGTGGTCATCTCCCGTGGTGCTTGTCAAGAAGAAGGATAACACGCTACGGTTTTGTGTCGACTACAGGAAACTGAATGCTGTGACTAAACGGGATGTATATCCCCTTCCACGCATCGACGACACGTTAGATCGACTTCGGTGTGCCAAGTTCTTCTCATCACTAGATCTGAAAAGTGGATACTGGCAGATCGAGGTTGATGAACGTGATCGCGAAAAGACTGCTTTTGTTACCCCGGACGGACTTTACGAATTTAAGGCTCTCCCGTTTGGTCTCTGTTGTGCGCCGGCAACGTTCCAACGCATGATGGACACTGTGCTTTCCGGATTGAAGTGGCAGTGTTGCCTAGTGTACCTAGACGACGTGGTCATCTTCGCGGCTACATTTGAGGAGCACATCAAGCGCCTTCGGTCAGTGTTAGAGGCAATCCGTTCGGCAGATTTGACAATCAAGCCAGAGAAGTGCCGATTAGCTTTCGAAGAGCTTCGTTTTCTTGGGCATGTCGTCAGCGCCCAAGGTGTTCGCCCTGATCCTGATAAGACGGCCGCCGTCGCAAGGTTTCCGGTGCCAACAGACAAAAAGTCAGTACGGAGATTTCTAGGTCTATGTGCGTACTATAGACGATTTGTGAGAAATTTTTCAAAGATCGCAGAACCCTTAACGAGACTTACGAGAGAAGATGTGCCTTTCCAGTGGCAAAACGAGCAAC